TCATAAAAAACCCGGGATCATCATGTTTCTTATAATCAAAGTAGGCTATAAGCGCATTCACATCCCCATCGACGATTTCCTTTGCTTTACCTCTTTGAAGTGCATTGTAAAGGTCTTTATGTGTAAATCCAACATTATGATAGCCCCCTACCTGCTGCGTTAAATAGTTCATTACTTGTGACGTGCCAACACTAACCTCTTTCAATGTTGTTGCCTCATCGATATCAGCCTTACTTACGGCTCTATTAGAACACATAAATGGTGTCATAGCAGGTGTGCACAATGCATGATTATGTTTCTGATAACACTTACTTATAACCCAGTGATCGTTTGTATTTGTTGCTGTAACTATGACTCTAGTCTTACATCCTGTTCTTGTGACTGGAGTATGAGCACGTTGACGATCAACAATATTGACTTTTGATACTATAAACCCTTCTTTGGAACAACAAAATTCTTGTGTCTTCACATTCTCTTCCACGTCAAGTCGTGTTGTTCCCTTACGTGCACTAAACCCGTGTTTTTGTGCGAATCCCTTGTAAAAATACCAAGCTTGATCACGTGAAGAGAAGAGCTGACCAACCAATCTGTCAGATTCATCAATATTATGTACTTCATGGAATTTCTCGGTTGACTTAACATTGTCTGCATCAGTATGATCCATGGCAAAAATTTTATTGTGCAAGTTCAGTGGTCCCAGAGTTGATGGAGATGTAAGTAAAGGTTCATTGAACATGTTTCAGTCGTGCTTTCAATAGGATGTGGTATTGGTAGTGGTAGTTGAAGCGTGGGTACAACATTAAATTCGCAGGACATATTTAGGTATGTACAATAACTACCTAAATATATGTCGATACATTTTCTACAAGTATCTACCCAAAAAACATCAAAACTAATAATTATAATGTAATAGGTAAATTAACAATGTAACGGGTATAAATATACCTGGTTAATTAGAAAACAGATCAACATAATGTATCGACACTTGTGGAATTTGTGTCAATATTTATTGTCCAGAATGAATGCCCAAATGAGGTGCACGCATAAAGTGTCGATACATTTATTAAAAGTATCGATCTTAAAAACATCGAAACGATAATTATAATGTAATATGTAAATTTACAATGTAACCGATATAAATATACTGGTTTTATGAGAAAATAGGTCAACATAAAGTATCAACACTTGTTAAATTTGTGTTGATACATTTTGTCCATAATGAATGCCAAACGGAGTGCACGCATAGAGTGTCGATACATTTATTAAAAGTATCGATCCCAAAAACATCGAAACGAAAATTACAATGTGATAGGTAAATTTACAATGTACCCGATATAAATATACCGATTTTATGAGAAAATAGGTCTAAATAATGTATCGACACTTTTTAAGTTTGTGTCGATATTTTTTTCCAGAATGAATGCCCAACGAGGTGCAAGCATAAAGTGTTGATACATTTAAAATTGTATCAATCCAAAAAACATCGAAACCGATAATTATAATGTAATAGGTAAATTTGTAATGTTACCGGTATAAATATACCGGTTTACTTAGAAAATAGGTCAATACAAGCGCTACCTATTATATTATATAACCGCTACCTAAAATATTATTGTACTTGATAATATTTTCGGTTCAATGATATAACATAACCGGTCTAAATTTTAACCGGTCACTTATTTAACAAGTCGCGCCGTTTTTTAGGCGCTGCACAACAGATGTTCCGCCGTGGAAGTGAGGGCAAACGGTAGCACAAGACAATGCCTAATCAAATACGAAAGGCTTCATTCCTTTTGTCACGGTTGCGGGTTGCTAGGACATGTCGTGGTCGAATGTCTGACATTCATTGCAAATACGCCACATATTCTTCAATATGAAGATTGGCTTAGGGTAAGATCTCCCGTTTACCATGCTAGTACCATGAAAGCCCGCCGAGGTAAATAGTCTATGTGGACCAAGATTTAAATTCATCCATAGATCAAGACATTTCCAGGAGAAGCTCACAACGATTGTCTCACTTGAGGTCTATTAGAATTGAATGAGGAACAAGTAATTAAATACCTAGAGAAGCGAAAAATCCTAAAACTTTCGATGTCCATAAAGAGGAGTCTGAGCCAGTGGAGGAGCAATGTGAGAATAACGAATTTTTCATTTAAAGGATTGAGAAGGGGAAAGATCCAGTGGGAGTGTCGACCAACTCAAGCAATGAGATCACGAACAGTGTGATCCTCCATGAGTTATAATTTCGGAGTCGCCTTGTATGGGCAAGACAACCGATAAGAAAATTTGGAGGGAGAAGGCAGTTTACATGATGATCCAACAACGGAGGCTGGTCCCAACCTTGCAGACAGATATGAGTCTCATATGTTGGAATTGTAGTGGGCTGGGGAACCCAACGACAATTCAAGAGCTGAAATGTATTATCTTGAGAAGTCTCCCATGCTTATGTTTATTTCTGAAAAAAGACTGAAAAAGTAAAGTCGAGAATATTCAAACTATGGTTGGTATAAAAAATTATTTTGTAGTTGAGAGCACTGAGGGATGTATCGGGCTCCTTTTGTTTTGGAATGAATCTATCAATGTGATCCTCATTGGCTATTCGAATCTTCATATTGATATGAAAGTTGTTTGGAATAACTATCAATCTAGATTTACCAGATTTTATGGAGATTGTCATAGTTCGAGAAAGAAATATAATTCGGATCTTATTAATCGTCTTACGCTTAATTCAAACTTGTCGTGGATTATGGGGGATTTTAACAAAATTATTCACTCGAGTGAAAAGGAAGGTGGGAGACGTAGATCGAACATGGACATGATTGACTTCCAATCTGGGCTGCGTGAGACCAACTTGCGGGATATTAAACTTCTCGGGTTGGTTTACCTAGAGCTCGGGCAGGAAAGCTGCCAACAACATAACGTCTTGATCGGTTCGTTGCTTCTCTGGAATAGTTTCAACTTTTCCATAACTCTATCACCCGATCTGAAAACACCATTTGTTCGGATCACGCAATTATTTTCACGAATCTCCTGGGAAATAATCACACCAATTCTCGGCACCACATAAAATACTACTTTAAATTTGATCCTTTTTGAGCCAAACAAGATGACTGCATTAATCTTATGAAGAACACTTGGCAGAATATGTAGAGAACCACTTTCAGCAAGATGAGAGAAATGGGAACCAGGTTAGGAGCTTGACAAAACAAAAATGAGATACCAAGCAAAAAAGAAGAAATGATCATATCCAAAATCCAAAGGGTTGAACTAGAACAAATCACAGAAGCAACTATGGAGCAACTTACCTCATTGAAACGGGAGTTGAAGGCTTTAGTTGACAAAGATGAGGCATAATGGAGACACAGATCGAGTGGCTAGGCTAAAAGAGGGGATAGAAACACAACCTTTTTTCCATGATAGAGTCAATGCTAGGAAAAAAAGAACTGGATTGAGACCCTTAAAGATGATCAGGGAAACCCAAACTCTCATCTCGAGGATATATTTAGAATTTCCACTACTTACTTCTCCGACCTATTCAGCTCTTCGGAGATGAACACTCCTTAAGCTATAGTTCTTGCTATTTATAGATGCATCTTTGAGGAAGATAACTCTGACAGGCCTCTACTTCTTAGGAAATCTGGAAGGCGTTTAAGTAAATTCACCCTAATAAAGCATCGGGTATTGATGGTCTGTCAGGGTATTTCTTTAGATCTTTGTAGGAAATTGTGAGGGATGATGTAACCAATTTGTTTCTTGGTCTGCTTAATGGCACTGAGCAGATGAGAGAGATTAATTAAATGATTATTGTCCTTATTCCTAAAGTTACAACTCAGACTCCATCAAAAATTTTAGACCCATTAGTCATTGTAATGTCATTTAAAAAATAATTTCCAAGGGTTTGTCATAATGCTCTTGCAACTAGGGAGAAACTTCAACAAGCTAACATCTCATAGGGAAAAATGCATGCTTTTGAAATTTTAAATCGAACATAAATATATTTAAAAATAAATAAATTAATATTAATTGTATTTGTTTAAACTCAATTCATTTATAACTTCTTTACGATATTCAAATATTAATTGTGTTTGTACATACTTATATTTATATTTATATACGTGTGTGTTAAAATATAAATATTATAAAAATCCGATTATGTTGGGGAAATTTTTGCACCCATCTTTACTTGTGGATATGATTGTAAATTGGACAAATCGTGAGTTACTCGAGATTGATTCGGTTAAGGCTCAATAAATACTCGGATCGAATGGACTCCACTCAAATTCTTAACGAGCCGAAACGAGCTATTTGATAATCGATTCGAAAAGCTCGTGAGCAACTCAAAAATATAATATATTAAGATTTTTTTTTTTTAAAAAAAAAAATTATTAATAATATTAACATTTATGTGTTAATTTTTTTTAAAAAAAACACATAATAAGACTTTCATGTATTTAAGGTTCAAGTTCGAGTATTCAATCTTGTTAAGTTTAAGATTTTTTTTCATTTCGAGCCTTTTCGAGCTGCTCACGAGCTTCAATTCAGGATTTCGAGTTCGAGTCGAACTTAAAAATTTTAAACTAGAGAGTTTTCGATTCGAGTCGAGTCGAGTTCCATTTCAGAGTTTTCGAGTCGAGTCGAGCTTAACAATACTCGAGCTCGACTCGGATCGTTTACACCCCTACTTGTGGATCTTTCTTTGACAATACTGTTACATGGTGCCTTGTTCTACTTTGATCCAAGCAGAAGCATAAATGCACTTTGACGAAACAAATGGAAACCCAAAATTCAGAAGATTAAAAAAATACCAAACAAGCAGTTATTTACAAAAGCTTTCTTAATAAGCACCTATCAACAAATAAAATCTATAGGTGTTATTTGTTAACATGGGATGGGCGCAATGCCTTGGCTGGCCTCAGGGACTCAAGAGCAAGGGCTTTCTTTAACCGGTATTGCCCCCATCCCATGTTAACAAAAAACCCTTACGAAAGCTTTTCACCAGGCACCTATCAACAAGCTAGGTTTATTCTACGTGTATTTTGTAAATCTATATCTGTTATTTGTTAACATGGGATGGGGGCAATGCCTTGGCTGGCCTCACAAACTCAGGGACTCGAGAGCAAGGGCTTTCTGCAACCAGTATTGCTTAAACCTCTGTCTTGCATACTCCAGATAGTCAAACTCTATTTTGTTCACACGACCCTGCGCACACAACACCACCGAAATTAGTCCACAAAAAAACTCTCAAACCTGGAATAAGATAATCTAAAAGAAATGAAAGATGGTGCCGGAAAACTTACCGAGATAATTCCCCATAAGCCCCAGAACAGATGGTTAGCAAGAGTATATTTCTTTGCAGCGGCAAGTAGTTGTTCCACTTCAGCATCACTAGATTCATTCCCTGCATTCAAGTATGTTAAAACCAGTTACAATATGTGATTGTACCTAATACTCTTTTCCACACACAGAGGTTGACATAATTAACCTGGAGATGCTATATATGCACGGATGAATTTTCGGCGCTCCTCTGTATCTGTTGTACAAAATGCACAAGGAAGAGGTAAGGATAGACCCGAAAATGCAGGATGGTTTCGAAGTCAATGAACAGGAGTTGGTTCTATATTGAAACAGTTACTGACCAGGGTATAAGGTGTAGTCCAGAATATGGGGCGTGTCAGAATGATAATTTGCTGCCATTTCACAGAAGTGATTTGCAAGATCATAAGCAACAGGATTGTAACTTGCATACTCATAGTCCTACAAGAAGGGAATAAATAATTCCTTAGAACATGCATAGTGCGAAAATTCATTTATCTATCCTGCAAATTTTATTTTTTAACTAACAACATGGAAGTGAAACAAGATAAGCTAAAATTATGTGAAATCAAAGAAGACTGCTCAATTTCAACTTGGCTGATCAGTATACAGTATGACCAGTTCAGAGATGTCATTAAATCAAAGCAGAAATATTGCCATAGAATGTACAGGCATAAAGGTGGTGGGTTATAAACTCAATTCAAACGCAACTTTAGCAGTTATCCCTTTGACAACTGGCAAAACAGCAAGAAAGTTGATACAGAAAAGAATGCAATGATAATCGAAAGTGCTGTATAGAAATTGCGTTCACAAAAGATAAGAACTGAATCGGATACTTACGATTAGGGTGATTGCTCTTGTTTCTTCATCCATCATTATGTTACCGTACTGCAAATCATTGTGACAAAACCCAATTTCCTGATTGCCCTGCGATAACTCTTTCTCCAGGGTGCTGATTTCATCTCCCAGAGCATCCAAGCCGAATTCTTTTGCAGCTTCCGGAGAATACAATTTCTTTGCCTGACCAAGCCAGGTCCTGGCAAGGAACAAAAGGGTTAGATATTTCAACTGATGACTCTAAAAGCACTAATATTAAATGTACATATTAGTACCTCAATCGCTTCCAAAGAAGTACATCCTTAGGACCAGGCATGTCAAGATTGTGGAACTCTCTCAATTTAGCTGCTACAAGGGAAGATATTTCAGGGTCACGGAGGTCTGCGGCAGATAGTGTCTGATAAAGATCGAAAAGAGATACAGATCAAATTAAGTTAATAAAGATCGAAAAGAGAAACAGATCAAATTAAGTTAAAGGTTCCGAAAGCTTTGGCTTGAATCTGAAGCATTAACATAGGGAGCCAAGTATTAGACGTCAAAATGATTAAAAAGACTTCATTAAGAGAAGATATGGCATACCCTGGCATGAATGAACTCCTCAATCCTTCCATCTGGAAATCGACCAAGAAGCTTAGGTCCTTGACCATGCTTGGACATGCACTCAAAGGTCCTAATCTCATCATCCCTATTGAAAAACACTTCCACGCCTTCACCATAAACTCGGACCAACACTTTCTGATGAAGATCGCCGTGTGTTGTCGGCCAGTTTATCTGATAAACCTCGTTAGTCATTGCTCCCTTCAGTGGAACCACATCAAATTCTTCCATATCTTTTATCTCATCTCCCCATTCGGATGCCACTGCTTTCAGAACTGCCTTCAGTTCTTCCGGTGCAGCGCTTGGGATGAACCCGTGTTTCTTTATGGTCATCTGTTTGTGTACCAATTGACAGATCTCAAGATTGACTAGTCTTGACCTGTAATCAAAGATTACTCATTTAAGAACTGAGAGAAAGATTATAATGGAAAGTGGAAACAATTATATTCACTGGAAAGAAAACAAATAAACAAACAATTCAACCAAGAAAGAAAACAGAATATGCCCAGAAATATTAGAACAGAACTCTAGCGGAAGAAAGTAAATAAAAGGCTAAAAGCTACAAGGATCTAAGCAAAGGTTATCTAATAAGAGTATTTTCCAAACAAGATTAGAGATCCAAGAAGTCAAGAACCCATTTGAGGGAAAACTTTTCAAGTTTTTAATAAGCAATTCAACTTCAAAAATACAGAATTCCACCGCAAAGAAACAAGACTAGGAGGATATATCATATATATGAAGTTCAAAGCCTAGAGATACAGTTTTAAACAAATCCCAAATCTTTAAGCATCTTCGAAAACAATTAATGGAGTTTATTTCATTGACCACGAATAATCAAGGAAGTCATTTTTAAACAAATTACGAGAAAATAAAACAGAATTTCCCAGAAAGAAACAGAAGAAAAACCCACCAAATTGGCATCAACCTCCGAAAAAACAGCTGCAAACGGACACTCCAAAACTTTCCAAGAATCTTTGGAAGCAAACAAAGCTAATGAAAACTGGGAACAATGATAGGCGTTTTATTTATAGCGGCGAAAACCGTAAAGTCGTTTACTTTTTATTTTTGTGTGCTGTATTGGAAAGCTATTCCGATGAATCTACACAGGGTGGGGTCCCTTCCGGGAACTATCTCTATCTGTCACACCCTTGAAATGAGGGAAATTACACGGACCAATTATCGGATGAAACGTGGAATAAACAGCTGTAATTTGACCAGTTTGGTCTTCCCCCGCTTTTCTACTCGTGTGTTTGAAAAACTGGTATCAATTGCGAGCGTCATGGCGGTTGGTTTTGTCCTTTGCTCCCCTAACTGGAATATGGTCGGTTCATCCACCGCTTTAATGCAATACGGGTAAGTCAAATTCTCCCCCCTTTTTTCTTTCAGTCCCTTATTTTCATTTGGATAAGCTTTAATAAATGAGCTGCGGGCCATTGTTTTTACAGAGTATTTTTTTTTTATCTGACAAAAGAAATCAACTAGCTGGAGGGTTGAACATCCTGCATCAAGGTCCACAGGCGGTTCCGTGAAGACAACAGTACCCACCGGGGTTCCACGGCTTATAGCAGCCAGCTTATCTGCTGCAATACTCTGATCTCGGCAAATACGAGTCACCTTAGTCTCCCAATCAAGCTCTAATAGTTGATGAATTTTAAAGAATATTTTACAGAACATATTATACGCAAGTAATACAATATGTTGAATAAAAATACTATATTTATAATAATATAATATGATTTACACATAACAAACATAGAACGTTGAGGCACAGTTTAGTTAAAGTACATATTGAAACACGTGCGATTACAAATAAAATAATTAGTCATGTGATAACAAATATTATTATTTAAAATATACAAAATAATAGTCTTTTACATTGCAACACATGCAGAGTTAAAAATTACATAAGCAAATAACTAAACATAAGTCAGTATTACATCGAATTTCCGTAAATAAATCATTATCGAAATCTAACAGTAATTATTTGATGTAAAAATCATTTGTTTTCAAGTTTTTCTTTTGTCAATATCAAATAAAATAATAATAATAAACAAAAATCCACCCTGTCAGGATCTCAAGGATAAACATCAACGGCACTAGTGGGGCCCAGTGAAATTGAATTCCTAAATCCAGATAAGGATCAAATCAAATTATTATTATATTGCTGCAATTCAATAATGCATACAAGATCGTCACTCCTTTTCTTTTAAATCCATAAAATCTTTACCTTTATTTTTAAATAATTATTCTTTTAAAAGAATCACATTCATCGTATGTTAATAATATTTTTATCACCAAACATTTAAACTAATTAGTATTCATTGTTTTAATTTAATTAAGGTATTAAATATTTATGAATATAATAAAATTAAATGTTTATGGAAGAATTTTATATAATTTAATAAAAATAATTTTTATTTAGATCATTAAAATTTAATAGATGATGAACTGCAAAATTCACATGAAACTTGTAAAATAATATCAATATTAAATACTATAGGACATGAACCAAGTTACCTCAATAATTTAATGGATGGTTATTATCTCGAAAAATCTCAAGTTCGAGCACATTATATGTTATGGGTGTTTGAGCGTCCATTATCAATTAGATTGAGAATCTTTCAAACATGTATTGTCTTATAATTATCTTTAGATTAATAAAAAATCAAAGATTATAGATATTGTCTATTTAGTATTATATATTAATATTTAATATTTTTAGTGTAACAAATGTTGAGTATCGATACTCAAATCAAATAATTTAATAAAAATTAGAAAACATATTATCTACTATAATTATCAAATACATAAAAGTTTAAATAGAGAAAGAAAATCTCGGTTGTTAATTAGAGATAAAGATGGAAAGTTGGTTGTCATATAGAGGTGGTTAGGGATGGATTGAGGGACGATTGGAGTAACTGTACTTTAAAAATTTTAAATTATCATATTTTTTTGTAATTTCTATTAATAATTTTTTTTTAAAAGTATAAGTTCATTTCTCTCGAATTTTAGAAATTATTTCCCTAACATAAAATATTATGTCTGATCCCGAAAATGACAAAAGTGTACCATTGGTTGAAATTCTAGTTAGAGATGGCAACGAGTCGAGTCGAGTTTTTGGCCAACTCAACTCGATCTGAAAAATATATATAATCGACCTAACATGACCCGAATAGCATATTTCCTCTATCCGAATAAAATCCAATCCAAATTTTAGAGTATAAATTTGATTCAACTTGACTTGGTTTGGTATAAATTAATTACCTGACTACAAAATTATAGAGGAGGTAGCATGTAATTATCCATTATGAGAAATTTATACTATTATCCTCATATCGGTTAGAGATTTTTTTACCATCCATTTGAACTTGACCCAAACTAATCTCGTCCTATACAAAACCCATCTCGAACTAGATCCGAACACAATTTATTTAAAAAAAAGTTCTATTAAATCTGATTGAATCATAATTCATGAGTTTCAAATTAAGTTGCCGTTCCTAGTTGAAGCGGTTGATGATTACAAGTTTTGGGCAGAAAAATGTTGCATTTACATTTGAAGTGTTTAAAAGTGAACAAAAGAGTACGTTGGTTGGTGGTAGCTCAAGTGGTAAGAAAGAAGTAAATAACAAAATTGATTGGTCAAGAGTTGGTTTCAAGTTGAAGCATTGTCCAAAAAATGCAGTGCCCATTGGAATTGTCGGTTGATTTTTTGGCACGAGGTCCCTTTCGCAATTATTCAAACATATGTTCCAACTTTTCTTGTACAAGTTGTCAATATACATAAAATGGCCAAAACAATCATTCTATTTTTCAAAAACATAAAGAAATTACATCCTCACGTTTATCTAAAATGGAAATGCAAAGAATCTTTTTCTATGAATTATTGATGTTTTATTTGGCTAGTAAGTTAAACTCCGACTCAGAATCAATTACTTATTAAATGAAAGAAGAAGCGCAAAGCACAGGGAATATGGGTCCAAGTTAATGGAATGAATGGTCTGGTCAATCACCACCACTGACAGCATCCACCGCTTTTCCGCGGAAACCTTTATTTTGCACTCTCTTTTTCATGTTTTTTTTTTGTATTTATAGTGCTAACTTTTGGCCATTGTCTCATCTCATCTTTTTGCGGCTTATAATTCATTCGAAGATTCCTTGAGTTTTTCTTTTTAACTTTGTATTAAGGTAACCTAATATACTATTAAGTAAAAACGTCACTGAAAATTTTAATATTTTTTTTAATATTTTCGGTAAAATATTGTCTAAATTATTATTTTTTTAACGAAAATATTAATACTGAGCGCTATTTAAAATGTTATTTTTTTACTGAAAATTAGATAACAAAATTAATATTTCTGGTAGAAAAAAAAATATTTTTTCAATAAAAAATATTAATATTTTCAGTAACATATTTTCTTAATTATATATTAGGGTACCTTATATCAAAACTGCCCGTTCATTATTTACTCCACTGTAGACCTATAACTTGTATTCAGAAATAGACTTAGAGGTGTTGATTGTGATCATATTTTTACAAATTCTAAATTTTCGTAAAACTTTTATATATTTTTAATGATGATTTAGTTTTACATTTTCTAAAAATTTATAATTTCGTACGCTTTAAATTTTTAATACAACTTTTCAAAAACTACACTTTTAACATCAAAATTTATGCCCGTACTAGTTTTTATAATTTTATTAACTATAGTTGAAAATGAGAAAATGAGATTAAGTCTATAAATGAATCGAACAAACACAAATAAGGGTGTATTCATGTTCGTTCGTTTAACTTTAGTCGAACAAACGAACGAACACGAACAACTAAATGAATGAAATTTTTTATCTGTATTCGTTAAGGAATATAATTTGTTTGTGTTCGTTCATGTTCGTTCATTAAAGTGATAAACGAACACAAATGAATGAACATAAACGAACTAATATAAAATTAATCAGGTTCAAATAATTTTATGGTATATTTTTAAATTGATTTGGGTATTCTTTGTTGGGATTTAAAATTAATTAGATTTTAAAATATTAATGGATTTAAGGTTAAAATTTACTAGGCTTTCATATTTTAAATAGATTTAGAGATTAAGTTAAATATAAATGAGTGTGAAGATACTAATTTTTTACCCATATTAATTAATTATTATTATTATTATAATTATTATTATTTTTATTATTATTATCATTATTATTATTATTATTAAATATATTAAATACATATATAAATATTATTAAAAAAAATTAAATTACAAACCAATTTTCTGGCCCAAACCAAACTGAAACCCAAAAACATTTAGGGTTTCAGTTAGGGTTTCCTAACCCTAATCCCAGCCACCTCAGCTTGCTGCCGTTGGATCTGGCAAGATCCAACGGTCCAGATGGCTCCAGATACAAACCCTAGGGTATGATACCCTAGGGCCACACGGCCGCCGCTGCTGCTCCAACCGCCTCCGCCACTGCCACGTCCCAAACGAAGGCTCCAGAAACTCCAACGCCAGCCGTCCACGCCATGGCTAAGGGGTGAGTCACCACTGGTAGTCTGGTGACTCACCGAAACCCCCTCTTCGGACCGGTCCGATGGCCACACCGGTGGTGGCTATAAAAGCCACCACCCGAACCTGAAAAAAAAAGAGACAGAGAGGAAACGGAGAGAACAACAGATCCCAGAGAGACAAAAAACTGAGAACACAGAGAAATCAAATACTACCAACGATCTCAACAACAAACGCAGCAAAGAAACAGAAAAGAAAGAAAAAGGAAGAAGAGAAACTTACCGAGGAAGCCGACCACCGGATCTCACCAAAACCTTCGAAAAACCGAAGGTATTTTTTTTAGATTTGCTCCGATTGGGAGCCGTTTAAAGGAAAAGATCATCGGAACCGTCATTAGGACGGTCCGATCTACGTTTCAATGTAAAAAAAAAAATTCCGGCCACCGTCTTCGGTGGCCGGCGGTGGTGGTTGGCGGCGGACGAACGCCGGCTGACGGTTGCCGGCCGAC